GGTCTCGCTCATTGGATGGGTCTCCTTCATAGGATGGGTCTCTTTCATTGGATGGGTCTTGTTCATTGGATGGGTCTCATTAATTAGATGGGTCTCATTAATTAGATGGGTCTTGTTCATTGGATGGGTCTCCTTCATAGGATGAGTCTCCTTCATAGGATGAATCTCGTTCATTGGATGGGTCTTGGGGTCTCATTCAATGGATGGGTCTCGTTCATTGGATGGGTCTCATTTAATGGATGGGTCTCGTTCATTGGATGGGTCTCGCTCATTGGATGGGTCTCCTTCATAGGATGGGTCTTGTTCATTGGATGGGTCTCATTAATTAGATGGGTCTCATTAATTAGATGGGTCTTGTTCATTGGATGGGTCTCCTTCATAGGATGAGTCTCCTTCATAGGATGAATCTCGTTCATTGGATGGGTCTTGTTCATTGGATGGGTCTCATTAATTTAATTAGATGAGTCTTGTTCATTGGATGGGTCTCATTAATTAGATGGGTCTTGTTCATTGGATGGGTCTCCTTCATAGGATGAATCTCATTCATTGGATGGGTCTTGTTCATTGGATGGGTCTCATTAATTTAATTAGATGGGTCTTGTTCATTGGATGGGTCTCCTTCATAGGATGAGTCTCCTTCATAGGATGAGTCTCTTTCATTGGATGGGTCTTGTTCATTGGATGGGTCTCCTTCATAGGATGAGTCTCCTTCATAGCATGAGTCTCCTTCATAGGATGAGTCTCTTTCATTGGATGGGTCTTGTTCATTGGATGGGTCTCATTAATTTAATTAGATGAGTCTTGTTCATTGGATGGGTCTCATTAATTAGATGGGTCTTGTTCATTGGATGGGTCTCCTTCATAGGATGAATCTCATTCATTGGATGGGTCTTGTTCATTGGATGGGTCTCATTAATTTAATTAGATGGGTCTTGTTCATTGGATGGGTCTCCTTCATAGGATGAGTCTCCTTCATAGGATGAGTCTCTTTCATTGGATGGGTCTTGTTCATTGGATGGGTCTCCTTCATAGGATGAGTCTCCTTCATAGCATGAGTCTCCTTCATAGGATGAGTCTCGTTCAATGGATGGGTCTTGTTCATTGGATGGGTCTCGTTCATTGATACTTGTACTTTCCAAGACTCGTTTGTGAGTTTTGTGTCCATGTCTAGTTGAATGTGATTGGACTGGCAGATCCCATGGTACATTTCTGTAGTGATGGGTCCCATGGTACATTTTTGTAGTGATAGGTCCACCAGTTGGGAACCCCTGCCCTACACTGTCATCAACAAGGAGTTTTCTGTTTAATCTGTAAATCTGTATAATTGAATAAAGTTTTTTTTTTTTGGCCAAAATAAACTCACTCTAATTCTGTGATACTGTCTCTCATTATATATTTGTGACCTGGCTCTAGGTCTGTGATGCTGTCTCTCACTATATATTTGTGACCTTTGTTCAAGTTCTGTGATACTGTCTCTCTCCCTGTCTATTTGTGACCAGGCTCTAGGTCTGTGATGCTGTCTCTCTTTATATATTTGTGACCTGGCTCTAGTTCTGTGATACTGTCTCTCACTATATATTTGTGACCAGGCTCTAGGTCTGTGATACTGTCTCTCTCACTATATATTTGTGACCTGACTCTAGGTCTATGAAACTGTTTCTCACTAAATATATTATGTGACCTGACTCTAGGTCTGTGATACTGTCTCTCTCACTATATATTTGTGATCTGGCTCTAGGTCTGTGATGCTGTCTCTCACTATCTATTTGTGACCTGGCTCTAGGTCTATGATACTGTCTCTCGCTATCTATTTGTGACCTGACTCTAGGTCTGTGATGCTGACTCTCTCACTATACATCTTAACCTGGAATGTGTCACTGAATACTGGGGAACCTGATGTGGGTCACTAACGTCCACAAGTGATTGAGTTGTGATTCATGAGCATTCCATCAATAATCTCATTCTTGGTCACATTACAATTTGGTGTTCTCTGCTGTTGTCCACAGGTGAAAGAAAAGCCCTAAAGAGCACAGGCAACATTTATGTCAAGCGTATGGAGAATCTGGCCCTTGCCTTATATAAAGCTCAGGTAACCGGCTGGTTAGATAATAAGCTTTTCATATGAGGCCTTGAAAACCTGTTTGCTTAGATGGAAATAAAATTTGCATTTCTCTGATACTGTACACATTTGCTGCCTTGCATTATTTCACTTGGGTCACTCAATTATTTAGTGTTAAGACTAACTTAAGACATAATTTGAATAAATCCAAATTGAGTTGTGCTCTGTAATGGCCCAAACATTTCTTATAAATTTATAAAATAAATAAATTTAAATGATTATCATAGCAAACAAAACAACTGCTTTTTTCCCATTCATTTGACTTATCTATTTAGTTTAACGGTAAAATAATTCAAAAGCAATTTAATTGAGATTCTGTGGGTTAGCAAACATGTGCAGTGTAAGAAATAGTCCATTTAATTCCTTTGTAAATATTAATTATGTTAGTTAGTGTTCAAAGATAAGGTAAAATAGTATAACTGGGATTATGGTAATCATAGTATAAGTAACATGGCTGAAAAATAAAGAAATCTCTTCAAGTTATAGAAATAAAATAGTGAAGTATCACATATAAAGTATAATTTACAATCTAATGTCAACTTATCAATACAAAACAAGTTTTTGAAAAGTTGTCACAGCTCCCAATAAGATATCTCCCATTGTAATATGTGACATCTCCCAATAAGATATCTCCAAATGTAATCTATAACATCTCCAAAAAAGATATCTCCCAGTGTAATCTATAACATCTCCCAAAAAGATGTCTCCCAGTGTAATCTATAACATCTCCCAATAAGATATCTCCCAGTGTAATCTATAACATCTCCCAATAAGATATCTCCCAGTGTGCTCTATAACATCTCCCAATAAGATATCTCCCAGTGTAATCTATAACATCTCCCAATAAGATATCTCCCAGTGTGCTCTATAACATCTCCCAAAAAGATATCTACCAGTGTACTCTATAACATCTCCCAATAAGATATCTGGCCGGGTAATATGTGACATCCCACAATATCACAGACTGCAAGCAAATGAATTCTTTATTTTGAGAAAACTTGTTTAACTATCTATTTTTAGACAATCCTTGACTCATTGTGGAGAAGGTTTTCCTATTATGATGGTATGTAAGCTTATGTCTATTACATATGAATCTAATATTTATTACATATGAATCTAATATTTATTGCATATGAATCTAATAATTATTACATTTGAATCCAATATTTATTACATATGAATCTAATACTTATTACATTTGAAGGTAATATTTATTACATTTGAATCTAATATTTATTACATTTGAATCTTATGTTCATTGCATATGACACTTATTTTAATTGCATCTGATTCTCATCATCATAGTTACTTCATCTTACAATCATATTCCTCAAATCTGACTGCTATATTCATAACAAATATCAATACTTATTCCCTAAAGATGTAGCGGTCACTTTGAATTTTCTGCCTGTTTTCTTTTTTAAAAATTCTCAGCCATTTCTCACTTCTATCTGCCACAGGTATAGTTGATGGGGAAACAAAGCCTGATTTAATTCCTAAAAACTTCAAGGCATTGGTCAGAAAGGCGGTCAAAGGTAGGAAGATTGGCTTTCTTGGGGTTTTTTCTCATAAAATGTCTACAAATGCTAAAATTTTATTTTGGGAGACCACAGTTTCATGGACGTGGATTTGGATACTTATATTGCAAGAGGCCTTTTAGATGCATTCACTTTTTTTTTACTGGTTACATTGTTCCTTTATGTTTAAAACCAGAGCAGCCCTTTAGAAATATTTAGTTGTGTCACATTGATGTTGCCAGCTTGTCACATTGTGATTTAAAGACATCAGCTATGAGTATACTAAAACAAAACTTGTCATCAAATCTGCATAACTATAATGTATGAGTAGACTGAAACAAGACTTGTCATCAAATCTGCATAACTATAATGTATGAGTAGACTGAAACAAGACTTGTCATCAAATAATGAGAACATTGTTGAAATGGTTGTTTCAAATGACTAAACAATACAAAACATTGGTGATTAAATTACTGTGTCATTATTTTCTATACCATGAATGGCCAAGTGGCTATGTTTACTATTCTGTTATCATTTTCTATGCCATGAATGGCCATGTGGCTAGGTTTACGATTCTGTCATCATTTTCTATACCATGAATGGCCATGCGACTATGTTTAGGATTACCATATGTTTATAGTCTTAAGTATGAATGGAATTTAAATTTTTTTCTTCTGCAGATCATGGTTGTAAATATACAGCACAAGATCATCAGCTCTCACGGGAAAACTCACAGGAAAACTCACGGGACAACTCACAGGAAAACTCACGGGACAAGGCCTGTGATTCCCGGGCTCCATCAGATGATTCAGAGGTCAGTGAGTTTGAGGACATAGATGCTGTGGATGACCAGGGCGTTGATGCCATCCAAAGCAAGGACTCAAGGAAAAGTCTGGTGTCGCCCGATCAGTCCTTCAACAAGGATGAAGATCAGAGAATCACCAAGCCGACCGGACGGACATCAAATGGGGAATCAATTAAAAGAGCCCCCAGTGCCAAGATCCCAGGGAAACAAACCACAGACCCACTCAAAACAGTTGAGAGAGAGTCATGTGACAGAATACTTAACCGGAACGACACATACAAAACTCAGCCAGCATCTGGGCATAAATCTGTTGCTGACATCGACACTCAGAACACTCAGCCAGCATCTGGAACTAAATCTGTCACTGACGTTGACATCAAGAAACAGCTGAGAGAAAATGGTCTGGCTAACCCTATAAAAACAGTTGTTTGTGAAAACAATGACAAAAGGGCTGGCGAGGGGAGCCAACTGTCCACCGGGACCGGTGTGATGGGGGCCATTCCCCAGCTCGCCATAAGTACTAAGACAGTAAGACAAATCTACACCGTGGTGAGTGCACCCCATTTGAAGCTTCCTCCCAAGGGAGAGGTTAGTAAAACAGCGCCTGGTGTTGGTGCCAGTACAAAAACATCTCAGGCTACAGTGAATGGAGCGGCGCCTTCGGCAAAGTTGGAACCTAAACCTGTGACGCCAAGTGCTGGGACGGAATGTAATAGCAGTGAAGGTGGGTTGAGAGTGCCTGAGATAAAGGCTACAAGACCTGACCTGGCAGATGATTTGAACATTTCGTCGGACAGTTTGTCATCTGGTAGTTTGTCATCTTGCAGTGAAGATGAGAAAGGGAAAGATAATGTGTCATCTCGTGTTAGGAAAGATAATGTGTCATCTCGTGTTAGGAAAGATAATGTGTCATCTCGTGTTAGGAAAGATAATGTGTCATCTCGTGTTAGGAAAGATAATGTGTCATCTCGCGTTAGGAAAGATAATGTGTCATCTCGTGTTAGGAAAGATAGTGTGTCATCTCGCGTTACGAAAAATAGTGTGTCATCTGGTGGTAAGAGAGATGCAAGTGTTAGCTCTAAAGCTTCGCCTAATGCAGAAGTATCACAAAGTGCAAAGGCCAATGGGTTTGGGGCTGTCACCAGGAGATCGTCGTCCAAAGTTGATGATACGAAACCTGGCAAACTGAACGCCTCGTCTGGCTTCAAAAGTAAAGAGCGACTCTCTTCAACTAGTTCATCCCATGAATCAGATGATGCAAACCAGCGTGTGTCCACTATGAGCACTACAGACAAGGATTTCTTGAAGACCTCATCCCATGAGCTGGAAACCTCAGTACAAAATGGCACGCCAAGGACCGTATTAACTGGGAGTTCCAATACATTGAGCAGAGACATTCTGTCCTCATGCAGCTCATCTGATGACTCGGATGATGAAGAGCGGCCAGCAGTTAACAAAGGCTCTCCCAAGTTGAAAACAATTATCGCCCACGAGAGCAGAGAAATCCCATTATCAAGCCGCTTATCTGATGATTCGGACCATGACAGTGGGCCGACTTTTAAAAAAGTATCAGTTAAGATGAAAAACAAAGTTGTCACACCTGCCTTAAAGAAGACTTGCAAACAACGAGTTGCCAGTGAAGAAACGCGCACAAAATGTAGTTCTGTGGAAGCAAAGCAAAATACCAGATATGTCCTCCGTAGCCATTTGAAACAAAACCAAACTGGTAGTGTCGTAACACACAGTGTTCTAACAGGTTGTGTTGCTGCTTCTAGTGAACAAAACCAAGCAGGTAGTTCTGCAACAGATAGTGTTGCTGTAACAGATAGTGTTGTAACACACAGTGTTGTAACACACAGTGTTGTAACACACAGTGTTGTAACACACAGTGTTGTAACAGACAGTGTTGTAAAACATAATGTTGTAACAGATAGTGTTACTATTTCTGGTGAACTGGGACTGAAAGATGCAGCAAAAAATCACAACAAAAATAACGATGGAGCCAAGAGCCAGGAAAGTTCTGCACACACCGTCCACAACCATCCGCAGCCAACCGTCCATGTATCCATTCTTTCACATATCAATGAACTCTGTGACAGTTTTATACTGCATGATACAAACGTTCTATCAGACCTGAGTGATGGCCCTGACAGTCCCAATCCAGATGGTTTAATGGATGTGTGTGAGATGGTTGACTCCCCTACCGTTTCAGGGGAAATGGTTCTGGTAGTTGAACCTGGCACTATGGCTCTTAAAAATCAACACAAAACAGTAAACACTTATAGTGCTGGAGATTTAGTTCTTCAAAAGAAAAATAATGAACTTTTTTATGTTAGTCAATTAGTTGCTACAAAGGATATGCCAATGAGTGCATCAAGTACTGCAAATGGTATGCAAATTATCGAGAATATATTGCCAAACCATGGTGATACTGATATAAGAAAGTGTTCAAATGAAAAAGATGTCAACACTACAGACAGTTCAGATGATATGGTTTCAAGTGAGGAGGCCCACGTCACCAACGGTTCAGTTGATACACTTCAAGTTAATGGTAAAGATGACAGCATTGCCACCAGTTCACAGGATACAGTTCAAGTTAATGGTAAAGATGACAGCATTGCCACCAGTTCACAGGATACAGTTCAAGTTAATGGTAAAGATGACAGCATTGCCACCAGTTCACAGGATACAGTTCAAGTTAATGGTAAAGATGACAGCATTGCCACCAGTTCACAGGATACAGTTCAAGTTAATGGTAAAGATGACAGCATTGCCACCAGTTCACAGGATACAGTTCAAGTTAATGGTAAAGATGACAGCATTGCCACCAGTTCACAGGATATTAATGGTAAAGATGACAGCATTCCCACCAGTTCACAGGATACACTTCAAGTTAATGGTAAAGATAATAGCATTGCCACCAGTTCACAGCATACAGTTCACACTAACAGTTCGGGTGATATTGCCACCGTAAGCCAGAAGCTAAACAGCAATGCTTCCACTGGATTAACTCTTGAGTGTGTACGGATGAAAAGTGGGATACTTTCTAAATTTGAAAACCCTCTTACAGCCGAAGATCTTCAAGTCCCATCTGAAAACCCTCTTACAGCCGAAGATCTTCAAGTCCCATCTGAAAACCCTCTTACAGCCGAAGATCTTCAAGTCCCACCTGAAAACCCTCTTACAGCCGAAGATCTTCAAGTCCCATCTGAAAACCCTCTTACAGCCGAAGATCTTCAAGTCCCACCTGAAAATCCTCTTACTGCCGAAGATCCCCAAGTCCCATCTGAAAACCCTCTGACTGGCGAAGATCTTCAAGTCCCACCTGAAAATCCTCTTACTGCCGAAGATCCCCAAGTCCCATCTGAAAACCCTTTCACTGCCGAAGATCCCCAAGTCCCACCTGAAAACCCTCTGACTGCTAAAAATCCCCAAGACCCACCTGAAAACCCTCTGACTGTCAAAAATCCCCAAGACCCACCTGAAAACCCTCTGACTGTCAAAAATCCCCAAGACCCACCTGAAAACCCTCTTTCTTTCAAAGATCCTCAAGTCCCACCTAAAAACCCTCTTTCTTTCAAAGATCCTCAAGTCCCACCTAAAAACCCTCTTTCTTTCAAAGATCCTCAAGTCTCTCCTGAAAACCATCTGACGGCAGAAGATCCTCAAGTCCCATCTGAAAACCCTCTGACTGCAGAAGATCCCCAAGACCCACCTGAAAACCCTCTGACTGCCAAAGATCCCCAAGTCCCACCTGAAAACCCTCTGACTGCAGAAGATCCCCAAGTCCCACCTGAAAACCCTCTTACAGCCGAAGATCCCCAAGTCCCACCTGAAAACCCTCTTACTGCTGAAGATCCTCAAGTCCCACCTGAAAACCCTCTGACTGCCAAAGATCCCCAAGTCCCACCTGAAAACCCTCTTACAGCCGAAGATCCCCAAGTCCCACCTGAAAACCATCTGACTGCCGAAGATCCCCAAGTCCCACCTGAAAACCCTCTGACTGCCAAAGATCCTCAAGTCCCACCTGAAAACCCTGTGACTGCCGAAGATCCCCAAGACCCACCTGAAAACCCTCTTACTGCCAAAGATCCACAAGTCCCACCTGAAAACCCTCTGACTGCCAAAGATCCTCAAGTCCCACCTGAAAACCCTCTGACTGTTGAAGATCCCCAAGTCCCACCTGAAAACCCTGTGACTACCGAAGATCCCCAAGACCCACCTGAAAACCCTCTTACTGCCAAAGATCCACAAGTACCACCTGAAAACCATCTTACTGCCAAAGATCCACAAGTCCCACCTGCAGACCTGGTTAGCACAAATCATCTTCCTTTAGATGACCCTAATTCTTGTGGCCACACTGAAACAAGCGCTTCATCAAAGCTTTTGGATACTCCCAGTGGTTATCACTCTGCTTCAGCACTCGCTGAGACCAAAACTAAAATGGCTCCAAGATTTGCATCATTGTTTGTAATGTCACCAGATTCTGCATTTACCGCCGTTCGTTCCCCACAGTATGTCGCCAAGAATCCGTTTAGCTCCGATGTCAAAGCACCGGTGCCAGAAACAAACTTGGGAATTTCCCACACAAATGACAAGGGCTGCGTCAAAAGCACTCAACAGAACTTGTCTGGCCCCAAAAAAAGAATTTCGCACACGTCCACATCTGCCGTTTCCTCCACAAAAAACAAAATTCTTAAAGCCCAAATCACTGGAGAGGGCGCTCGAACTGTGAGAACAAAAGAAACATTCCTTAAAGCGTCTGTTTCCTTTCAGACTTCAGCCGTTGGACCGGCTACAAAGAAATTCCCTCTCAGCACCGACACAGAGAGGAACAAATTGCCTGAAATGTTTCTACACAACATCTGTGACACACTGCAGATGTCCACCTCAAAAGCTCCATTCCTGCCATTCGGCCAACAGCAGAAACATACTCAGCCAAAACACCCGATTATCAAAAAGAGGAAGTTGTCATTTTCACAGCCAACAAGTCCCCAGCCGTCCGATTTCCTGTGTGATACGTCTTTTGATTTTGGTGAAGGGGAGCAACCGACCCTGTCCCAGATCTTCAACTATTTCAAGAGGCCCCGCCTCCTTTCACCCCTCCCCCCGTCCCCCGTGGTGGTGAGCGAGGAGAGCTGTGACTCCCTCGTGAAGTTTGACTGCTCCACCCCGGCTGATGTCATCAAGGTCACTCCGCTGGCCAAAGCCTTCGAGGCGACAAACTCTCATAAATCTTTGAGCGCGTCCAGGCCTGGAACGGCAGAGGCCAAGTTGCATCCCAAAGCAACAAGAACAAGGCGGTCCAGCATCGTAAGCAAACGGGCAGCTGAACATATGGTGACACCGCCGGCCAGACAACAAGAGGCAGAAACTAAATCTGGCAACAAGTTGATGAGGGAAGGAGCAGCAAATGATGACAAGTTGATTCCATTGGGTCGCAGCCAAAGGGTGGCAAGCAATGTTAAAGCCAAGAGTTTGTCCCATCAGATGATGGAGGTCAACAAACTGATCCAGGCCAAGAGGAATGCTGCAGTCAGTGGGTAAGTGGAGAGTTTCTCATCTCATTGACTGTCTTACTTTGACTTGTTGCTGGGAAACTGTTGGTTCCCAGTCACTCTTGGTCTTAAGTGACTTATTGTGCTTAGTGACCGTTTGTGATAGTTGACTTAAGGGTCCCAGTCACTCTTGGTGACAGGTGACTTTTGGTTCCCAGTGACCATTGGTAAATGGTCACAGGTGACTTAAGGGTCCCAGTGACTGTTGGTGACAGGTGACATTAGGGTCCCAAACCTTTGTATCATATTGAAGCTGTCATTTATGAACTATTTTTCTCCCCCTTCAGAAAGCCAGTGTCACAAGAAGGTCCCAGGGGGGTGAAAAGGAAGATGGAAGTAACCAACGCTGATCAAGGGGCTGTCACTAAAAGAAAGGTTGGTTACCAAATGTTGATGCAAAGATGGAAATAAATTGTCAAAATTAGCAACTCCAGAAAATGAACGGAGTGCACACAAAAAAAAAGTGATGCGACACAACATATTATATAAGAATAAGTTAGGGTAACCCTATGTGCTAAAAAAAGAATAAACTTAAATGCGTTGGTATTCTTAAAAACAATGAGTGATTTTCTATTATATTACAGAAATCAAGTAAATTTAAATGTGTTAAAAATAAAATATATGTGCTTTTATTTTAGAAAATGTTGAAGTATTATTATTATAAACTACAAATACATATTAAGTAACAATTAATTAAAATTAATTAATTAAAAATATTAAGCATTTTAACAGAATTTGAAAGTTTTGACATTTTTTTAAATTAATAAATTATGAGCTAAGAATTATTTTTACTAAATCATAATCGCATTTATCGTGAAAAACCAAACGTCTGTTGTTGATTTTCAGTGCGTTGTTAATATTGCAAAATTAAATTTTAAATTAATTTTATCTAAATGATTTCAAACAATATCGAACTAAAATATTCAATGAAACTCAAATAACGAAAAAATTAAATTAATTTCATTAGAGGTATACTTAAACTTGCTAATCAAAAGCTTTTAGCTTCTTTGATTTAATAACTGATTGTGACAAAAAATACTAATGTGTTTTCCCCTTTTTGAAAGTAAAATTAATAAATATAATTGATGGCTTTTTACATTGTTAATAAAACACACACATTTTGGCTTTGTATTTTTAACATTTAAAATGTTTTACTTTTTTTTTTATTCCAAAAATGTTACTTTTACCTTTAAAAATACTTTTAATAAGAAAATGCCGTTCAAGTCAGCTGAATGCGTATAATAATATATAAATTTTTAAGAAAAATTTAAAACAAATGTGGTGTAAAGGATCTTGGACTTAAGAATGTTAATTTGAGCTCAGGGACGTGCCAAAAATGTGTGGTTGCGTATGTAGGGGGCTACCATCTTATGGATGATTTTATTAATGTTTATTTTTAGAAATGGGGTGGACAGGGGATTTGATACTTCATATTGGCCCAGCCAGCCAGCACAAGATATGTCTCAGATTAAAAGAATGAATTTGATAAATAAATAACTTTCTTCGTAAAACACATCATTTTTACGTGGCTGACAATATCTTTAAATCCAATGACTTTACAGTGGTGTTACATTCTCTTTTTACAAATAAATATCTATTTACCAGTTAAGAAAAGATAGTTCAATGGCGTTGACAAAATGTGCATACATTTACATGAGTAACCTCATACCTCAAATGATATATCAAAACCCAATCATTTTACACTTTAAAATAAGCCATATTTTTTTTCATTTACAGTTCACGGCATGGACAAAGATAGATTAAGATTTTCTTTTAAAAAATGAAAATAAATATATTTGTTTTTACTATGGAAAAAAAAAAGTAGGTGTATAGTAGGTTTTTATGAGATTAATAACATCTCTTTATTTAAAAACCACTGTTACAGATGTGAGAAACACTGTTACAGATGTGAAAAACAGTGAAGAAATTTTTGAATAAAAGAATTCTTTGTTTTCAGATTTTCCAATATTATAGTAGGAAAGCAAGGGAAAAGTTTGTTAAAATTTTTAATGAAGATATCAATATATCAAATTCTGTTAATATTAAATATATTTAAATTGGTACAAAGATTTTTTATTGTAAGTTTAAGGTTAATTTTTCAATTTGTAGGGTAAAAAAAATTGTAGTTCAGGGGCACAAAAAGGCATAGGGTAGGTGGCTATTATATAGCAGATAAAAATTTCTCAACACTAAATGATGCTAGAAATGTAAATATCATTCCATTTAATGATGTTAGAAATGTAAACATCATTGCGTACATACTTTTTTTTTTAAAAAGGGATTCTGACGAGTTCTGCAATAGTAGGTTGAAAATATCACAAAATGTTTGCCATTATTATCACTTAAATGTCCGGTCATACATTCCAGTGTTGTAGAGTAGATGAACTGAAATCCTGATGTTTGTTGGTTGTTTTGTTAAAGTTGTGTCCGGCCTCTTACTAAATGGGCTTGAATCTGAACTTTGATAGATACATACTATACTGACAGATTTTATATACTATACCAGTGGTCAGCAATGCGTGCCACATGGGACTCTTTAGCCAGTCGGTCACAAATCAGTTTTGACCACGAAAAACAAGGTTCTTGACAGGTTCTGTATGCAATGAAATCTAACTGGGCCAAATTGTCTGGTGTAAAGAAATCAAATTATGTTGTTTTTTTCCAACCAGAAACTGGCCAACATCAACGGTTTCCCTAATACATTTGAAGCTGTTATGTTTGACCTGAAACATTTCCTGGAAGAGCCCAAGTCCGATGTCAATCTCACAATTGACGCCATGCTGAGCAGGGTCGCTGGAGGAGACGGCCAGGGAATATGGAAAGTTCTGCCACATGTCGTGGTCCAGGTAAATATTTGGTTCAAATAATCAACTGGAACACATTCAACAAAGAAACATATCACTGGCTGGTAAGAGATTAATAGAGAGGGTGTGGCACCATCACTGGCTGGTAGGAGATTAAAAGAGAGGGTGTGGCACCATCACTGGCTGATAGGAGATTAAAAGAGAGGGTGTGGTACCATCACTGGCTGGTAGGAGATTAAAAGAGAGGGTGTGGCCCCATCACTGGCTGGTAGGAGATTAAAAGAGAGGGTGTGACACCATCACTGGCTGGTAGGAGATTAAAAGAGAGGGTGTGGTACCATCACTGGCTGGAAGGAGATTAAAAGAGAGGGTGTGGCACCTCTGAATTATGTTGATACCATAAGGGCCATCTATATATTATATGCCAAAAAATCAGATTTTCGTACCCCATGCCCTCTGTTGCACCCCTTACATTTTTGGACACCTACCCCTTATGCCTAGTACAAACCAGCTTCTCATCTCCACCTCCCAAGAAAAAAAGAACCGCAGTCACAAGAAAATTATTTCACCACGAATTATGTTATGTATACGTAAGGCGCCATTCATGTGAGGCGCCATTCAAGGGCAAATGGTCTAATAAAGTTGTCACCAAGGTAAATTTTGCTGTTGCAATATCTAGGGATGATATGATGACAATTAAAAAAAATAAATGTATGTGCACAATTTGCCGAGACCTCTCCTCTTCCCCATGCACACCCATATACCATATATCTCCTTAATCAACCACCCTCCACCATCAGTATGTAATCTATGGAGGGCTCTATATGGTGATAACATGCCAAAAATAATGATGGATGCTATTATTTTATTAGTCCACTATTAAATACTATCAATTTTTTTTCTCTTTAAAAAAAGTTTTTTAAATTTGTCTTGAAGGTAATTTAATAACAAATTGAACACTGCCCATTATTTTACTGTATCTGTTATGTCAGTACCTGGCCACTCGAACAGACAAGACAATGGACCTTCTGCTGGCAGCCTGTGACAAGGAGGAGATCATAGAGCAAGTGTTTGTTAGTGAGGAGGAGAGAAGGCTCCTGGACCTACTGTGTACTTTGATGAAGGCTTATCAGGTCAGTTACACCTCATTGTTCACATGGGAGGATCTGAATATCTCTGGTTTTACATCCATTGTCAGTCAAAGTAAGCCAATAACTTATTGGGCATTATAACAAGAATAGATGAAATCTATACAAGTTTAAACTCTAGGTCTTTAACACTAGGCCTCAAAACTTAAAGGAAGCCCAGTTCATAGCTGGACTTTAGTGAGCCATTTATGGGCAGAAGAAAGGAAGCCATTTATTTAATAGCAGAAGAAAAGAAGCCATTTATTTCATAGAAGAAAGGAAGCCATTTATTGACAAAGGAAAGGAAGCCATTTATTGGCATAAGAAAGGAAGCCATTTATTGGCAAAAGAAAGGAAGCCATTTAGTTAATAGCAGAAGAAGGTCATGACCATATTGTAATCGGGCAATGAGTATATGTTAATCAGAGCTTAAAAATTAAAAAAATAATAAAATAAAATTTTATCAGCTTCAGAAGAACTATGGAATTTGTGCCTTATTTCCACCTCACTATTCCTATTTCTCTACATGTGCATTTCAAATTTGTAACATAGATAAATTGTTTTTAAATGAAAGCTACAGTTAAGCTCTGTTCTAATATATTTTTTTTTAAGTGTGGACTGTTATTAAGCACCACTGTTGAGCCAGTACTATTGTCATTGAGTACTGTTGTCATATCTCCACTGTGAATTTTTTTCAGGATACAGACAAAAGTTGTATGATAAGTGAAGCATGGACAGCCATCTTCAATCAAGGTGCTATGGTCAAGCCTGCTCGAGTCTTTCTGTGGTACCCAACAGTTTTATTTTGTACATTCCTACCATCTAGTCTTATCTTGTACAGTCCTACCATCTAGTCTTATCTTGTACAGTCCTGTCATCTAGTCTTATCTTGTACAGTCCTGTCATCTAGTCTTATCTTATACAGTCCTACCATCTAGTCTTATCTTGTACAGTCCTGTCATCTTAGTCTTATCTTGTACAGTCCTACCATCTAGTCTTATCTTGTACAGTCCTGTCATCTAGTCTTATCTTGTACAGTTCTGGCATCTAGACTTATCTTGTACAGTGTTATCATCTACTTATCTTGTACATTCCTACCATCTAGTCTTATCTTGTACAGTCCTATGATCTAGACTTATCTTGTACAGACTTACCATCTAAGTCTTATCTAGTTAAATAAATGATAGTTGATTATCTAGTTAAATAAATGATAGTTGATTATCTAGTTAAATAAATGATAGCTGATAAATGCGAAACTATAAAAAATGTGTGCGCTAACCAAGGGAAATAATTTTAACTACAAACTGATGATACTTGTACAGGTACACCAGACAAATTTGTTTGATGGTAGTGTTTTATAATTATAGTAATCACTACCATATAAACATGTTTTAATATTACAAGTTCACTTTCCCTTAAAATTGGCAATAGTAAAAAATATGTTTCTTTTTTAAAATTGTCACACATTCTCAGAAAAATATTTTATTTCGATGAGACCTTTCTGGCTCTATATAGTGAAATATTTCCATTTTACAATTATAATTATAATCTATTTCACTCTTTCCTACAGTCGTCTGTTCACCAGTCTGTGCAAGGCCCAAGGTAATGGTTGATGAAAGTATTGTGTGTCTGTATATATCAGCTTGTGTATACAACACTCAGGCATTGATTAGAATAAACTTATTTTATGTTTTCATAAATTATGTTCTTCAACTCCATTGTGGCATATCTTTTTCTTATAAATGTTATTTTGATATGGTCACTCATGACACAGTGTTGGTCACTCATGACATAGTGTTGGTCACTCATGACACAGTGTTGGTCACTCATGACACAGTGTTGGTCACTCATGACACAGTGTTGGTCACTCATGACACAGTGTTGGTCACTCATGACATAGTGTTGTTCATTCATGACACAGTGTTGGTCACTCATGACACAGTGTTGTTCATTCATGACACAGTGTTGGTCACTCATGACATAGTGTTGGTCACTCATGACATAGTGTTGTTCATTCATGACACAGTGTTGGTCACTCATGACATAGTGTTGGTCACTCATGACATAGTGTTGGTCACTCATGACACAGTGTTGGTCACTCATGACGTAGTGTTGGTCAGTTATGACATAGTGTTGGTCAGTTATGACATAGTGTTGGTCAGTCATGGCTTAGTGTTGGTCACTTATGACATAGTGTTGGTCAGTCATGACTTAGTCTTGGTCAGTTATGACTTAGTGCTATTTTCTGTCATCACAAACCCTGTGTTGTCTGGACATGCACTGTCTTGGAAACCTTAGTTTAAACTTTTGTCTTCGTTTTCCACAGCTGACTTGGAACAAGCTCGTGTTCTTGTCTACAACATTGCCTGGTGCGGTTACCTTGACCTTGCACCCTTGTACATGGCCATCGCCGGTGTGTGGCCTGAGGTGTTTAGTCACAACCATGTGACCCGACAGTGTGCTATGTCACCGGTCCTTGATTATCTGCTGCGAGACACGTACAAGTCTCACCCAAAAGTGCTCAGACAGGTAAGGCATGGAGCGAGATTCAGATTCTACCATGTTAGTGTCATAAGATTATAGCATGTCAGTGTCATAAGATTATACCACATTAGTGTCCCACATTGGTGTCATAAAATTGTACCACGTTAGTGTTATAAGATTATTCCATCTTACATTGTATATTTTTTTATAGTGTTTCTAACATGTTTTTTTACTCTTTTATATAGTGTGTCTAACATGTCTTTTACTCTTTTGTTATAGTGTGTCTAACATGTCTTTTACTCTTTTGTTATAGTGTGTCTAACATGTCTTTTACTCTTTTGTTATAGTGTGTCTAACATGTCTTTTACTCTTTTGTTATAGTGTGTCTAACATATCTTTTACTCTTTTGTTATAGTGTGTCTAACATGTCTTTTACTCTTTTGTTATAGTGCGTCTAACATGTCTTTTACTTTTTTGTTATAGTTATAGATAGTGTTTGTAACAAATTGTTTATTTTGTAGTTCTAGGTACAGTATGGCTTACATGTCTCCTTTTTTTTTGTTCTAAGTACAGTGGGTCTTACATTTCTTGTATTCTTTTGGTCTAGGTACAGTGTGTCTTACAAAGGTTATGTTCATGGGATACTAGGCAGACGACTGTGCAACCCGAAAAGCTTCTGAAAACATTGTATGAAAAACTGCTTTTTCATTTTGCTAATGAAAAGCATAGCTTGAACCCAGGTAAATTGAGATCCATGGTTGTTAACATTCTCTTTGTTAGAGGCCCATGGAGTAATTGAAATGGATGCCATGGTTAGAAAGTTTTGCAATCATTTGAAGATATTAAATTTAGTTTGCCTTTACATTTGAAGTATGCTAATAAGGGGGAGCGACTGCAATCAGGTTAGCCAAAAAGGAAATGATTGAAACAAAGTATGAGAAAAACAGAAAAAGGGAACGCACTAAAACAACGAATGTGCTGGCAGGAAGCCTTCATTAGTGAACACACAAAATTAAAAACGGAATAAAAATAACACTTAGCTGAAACACATTTGAATTAACGGGGGTCACCTAAATCTACCTAATTATATAAATGTGTAAATAAATTACATAACAAAAGCAGTGTTAGGAACAGGACTAAATTTTGTGTAACTTTGAACATTTTGTTGTTGATAACATTTATTGCTGTGTATAATGAGAGAAATGTTTCTGCTATTATAAGCACATGCAAGCAATTTTTCATTAAACGAAATATACTAATGTCCACGCAACCAAATCTAATTGACCCACTGACATTCAGCAACCGAGTGTGCATACATTTTTATCGGTATGTCCACAGTTCATTTTAAATATAATTTTTTTGGACTCATTCATAAGATTAACAAAGATAAGGAGCAGGATAAACAGATCATGTTAGACATTGCATTTAGGGCTTTTCAAACAAAGCGTTACGGGTTTGCATCATATGCTAAATCTGTTACTTTAAGAGACATAAAAATATTTGTTGGGTTAGTAAACACAACTTACTTACTCACTTTTGGAATTGCTCCGTTTGAGGCTGGAAATATACTGATATTGAAACAAGACTAATGTAATGTTTACAAAAATGATCTACTCTCTCGATGTTCAGGCTACATATTTGAAGTGAGCAAGGCCATTGAACTCCTCTTGATCTACCAAGGGGCCGCCTGGACAATGGGCAACTTTACTCAACGCATTTTGCTGTCCCTGGCTATGAAATGGGAGCACAATGGAGACACAGAGAAGGGCCCCAGCCCCGAACTGGTTGTTGCCATGATGGGAGTCTTCCGTAAGTTCTTGTCCAGCTGTTGGTCAATGGACAATCCTCAAAACTTTGATTGTTAGATCACAGCTGCAGTCCAACCTTTTATGGCCAGTGTTGGGAAACACTGGCATGGTCTAAAATAGCTAAAAGACTCACCAAAATTATAAATATGAGCATCCATATAGTGACCAGTGTCTTATTGTTTGAGAGAGAAGGGGAAGGGATCTGAGAACCTGGCTACTTGTTGTTTCAAGTTAGACATAAACATCATTTTTTAAAATAAGGTTCCCTTTTAACTTGAATTGATTTTGTCGCTTTGTTGTCTATACTCTTCTTCTAAGTATGTTGTCTTCTGCTAAGTATGTTGTCTTCTGCTTCAGTTAAAATTTGGGAAATTTGAAAATGTTTGCTTTGTGTTGAAAATTAATTTTTTGTTGCCATCTTCCATCAGGTGCTGTGATAGCAGTTCAGCCTCTTTTAGTCAATAGCCCAAAAATGATAAGCCAGATTTTTGAAAGATTTATTGACAGAAAATCTAGTAAGCAAACAAAATTGTCTCAAGGGATTAATTTATAGAGTTTTTATCTGAATATTCTTTTATTTAATCCATGAGAAAATACACTTAACTTTACTTGTACCTGGTCTCTTAAATTATATGATTTTTTGAAGGGTCCTTAATATTGATAACATTGGCAATAATGTTATAACTGTCCTGATTAATAAATTAATTACCCCCAAACTCTTAAAATCGTACAATATCATCACAAAATCATTCAATACATTATCATAAGAGTAAAAAATAAATAGTGTATATACCTCAAAATCGTACATTGTACGCCAAAATCGTAAGAGTAAACAGGTCTACTGTGAAAAATTCAAGTTTATAGTAAGTAGTTACATTACTTTGGGCCTTTTGGTGACACCCATTCCTTTTGTATATTCTTAAGTGCTTTTAACTTTTAATATTTTTTTAAAATGTTTATAAATTACTAATGTGGGTATGATGAGCAGTGGTATTTTAGGGGTATGGTTTAGCCCACCTACCAAGCATTTTAGAAGCTTGAACTTATTTGAAGTTCTTTACTATAGCCCCATATTTTACCATGCCCCCCTCCTCCCCCATATGGGTCATATTTACTAGCTCCAAATATCACCTAAATTATAGCAACAGTAGTAACATCATTAGAAGTTAATATTATGTCAACCATGTTTCTCATACTGTGCTATATTTATATTGTCCAACAGCCAACATGAGTGTGGAGTTGGCCTATGTTAATGCCCTGCTTGAGATTTCTCCCTACAATCCTGAAAAGTGCCTGGACCTTCTGAGGAAATGGCAGGACAACAATAAAGGGAAAGTACCCAATCAGACCTTCAGCAACTTTCTGCAAGTCAGAACAATGTTATCACAGAAAAGTGGGCGTGGCAGAGATTCAAAAAGATGACAAGGACCAAACAGTGGGCAGAGTTATTGAACAGCAACACTGAAGTGTCCATCAACTGAATGGTTCAGATTAACAAATATTCTATCCCAGTGATGACTTCTTGTACCAGTGATGAATTCCAATACCGGAATTTACTTGTTATTTTAAGGCAAAACATAGAATGCATCTTCACATTTTTAAAATTGTCTCCCTTGAAATTTTACCACATTACATAGGAACGTGTTGAAGTTAATCAACGCTTCCAAAACTCTTCTTTTTCACAATTTGGAATAGAGAAATTTGTTGTTTTTGTTCCTTTCAGTATTTATTTTGTCTATGTGCCGGGATATAAATATAATTTACTATTAAGGTAATGGGAGCAGTGCTTACTTTTGTCAAATTTAACTATGAAAAACTATTAGGGCAAATTATTTGACACAAATTCCTGTAGTGAGTGTTGGCTTCAAATAAAACTAGAAGCCTTTCATAAAAATTAAAAGGTCTTTGTCCAAAACCTAAATTAAAGATAATGTATCCTATAGGACAGAACTGTGTGGATGTTTGGATGTAAAGTGTATTACTAGTGTGCACTTATCGATATCGGGTGGATGTTTTGTCTAGTAATTATTATCATGTAGATAACCATGCTTGATGTTATTTGTTATGCAAGTTGACTTACTTTACTCGCAGGGAAGCAGTGTAAAAATGTTGTTCTTTTTGTATTACTTGCTCTTAGAGCTTTGGTGTAATGTTTATTTTTTGTTACAATTATTTGTTCTCAATCTGAACATCGGCTCAAGTTAATGATGCAAAACTAACTAGGGCTTTCATTTGAAAATGTACATGTATTATTTCCTTGGTTGTTCATGAAATGGGAGACAAATGGGATGTGTGGCAAGAACGGGTAATTGTTATCATTGATGTCTATTAATATATGCAAGAATTTTTTTAATTTTTTTTGCGACAGGTTTCACAATGGACAACTCAATTTCTACTTAAAAATAAATTGAATTTAAAAAATGAAAATTGTCTTCACTGAGTCATAACTGAACAATATCTTGTTGAAGAAATAGAAATTTAAAAAGAAATTGTTATGGCTTTCTTCCCATTATTTTTTTCATAAGTATTTATTTTAATCATCAGTGTCCAAAAATGTCATTAACTTCTTTCAAGGGAAATGGGAAAAAAAAAACAAGCAACAAAACATGGGAAACAATCACTTAGAAAATTCATTGATATAGATTTTAACATTTTTAAGTGAGGAATTCTTGTAAAGGAGCGGCACACCACAGTTGAGTTCCATTTGAAAAGTGGCAAGGGCAAATAATTGGGGAAGGGCATCTTTAAAACTAAATAATTTTTCAGGAGACTAGATTATTTACAAAATTTCATCTTTTTGGGACAAAGAGAAGTAAGTTTATTTTGTCGCCAAAGATGTTGAACCCTAATCAAACTTTAAAAAAAACATGTTGTAACGTTTGAATTTTTTATGTAAATATCCTTAATTTCAATCTACAGTCAACCTTTTAATTTTAATTGGATATTTCTCATTTAAAATAAATCGGTTTACAAACAATCCAGGGTCAGCAAAAATGTATTTTGTAATGTACTTTATTAAATAAACATAAACTACAATTACGTTTGCCTTAATAATCATCAAAGTTACCAAAAAGTAACACAAACCACGGTATACAAAGTAATCATTAAATCTTCACCAATGCCCCCATTTCATTCCTTCTTCTTCTTCTTCTTTTTTCTTCTCTCTGGATTGGAAGTCATGGTTTTTATGTTGGCCTCATTATAGGTTAAAGAAATGTAACCTTCCTCTGAAAGCTGCTTTCGTTTAACTCCCTTCCTGGAACTTTTGGAAGATTGAGCTAAAGCGAGATAATCTACTGAAATTTTGTTACCAGGTTTACGCAGCTCTTTGAGACCCAGCACATTATTATCTTTTTCCTTACTCCTAACTGCGTCTGGGTCAGTTTTTGGTCTCTTGGTTCTCTTGCCAACCTTTTCAGAGGTCTCATGGAAGTCAAGTTCTCCTGTGTTGTCCACGGTAAATACAGGTGTATCATATTTGGCTGTATTCAAGCCCGCAGTCATTAACTCTGAGAGCTTTCCATCTTGAAAACCCCCTGCTCTTGAAATGGAAAATAAAGGAGTCTCTTCCGTGAAGCTGGATTTGACTACATCATCTGTAAAGCTGGGCTTGACCTCGTCATCTGTCGTACTTGTAATGACCCCATTTCCTGTGTCATCTGTTTCCATGACAACATCATCTTTAGAAATAACCGAGCTGGGCGAAGTTGTTTGAGAAAATGCAATGAACTCACCAGTGGTCGGTTGATTTTTGTTTGAAACCAACTTAGCCTCTTTATTTCGTTTCAACAATTGTGAGGTGCTAGTTTTAAATGATTTGGTTAAGGCTTTTTCTGTCGGGGCCAGAGTCTTTGCTTGCACGGTCATCTCAAGTGTGGCTTTACTAAATTCTGTGATTCTGACATCAATGTCTTTAACAACAGAAACGTTAGGGCCTTTACTGATTTTAGCACCAAGAGATTTATTTCCTGGTTCCTTTGATTTGGAGCTTGTTGTCACAGATTGAGTTTTTCGACTGCCGCTATTTCCTGACAAGGAAATAAACTCTGACATAAAATTTTGCTCTTTTTTTATATCTTCCATTTCTGACCTTAAACTAGATTTGACCTCCTGGAGGTCTTTAGATTCACTTTTGGAAATGTACAAGTAGGAGTAGTCTTCTTCAGGTTCTGTCTCATCCTCACTGTCTGCGTTCGTGGGTGGAATTATTGCCTCTGGATGCTTTAAGTAGACTGGACAGGAAGTGCTCAGTTGGCTTGACCCCAACCTGGCTATGGCATCCAGACACTTGGTGGTCAGGCCATGAAAATAGTTCTTGCCGTCTGATTGAACGGTGGTACTCTTCTGTAAAAAATATCAAATTGATAAGGTTGGAAAGCCACAAATTGAGCTCATTTTCAATAAATCAAGAAAAACAGCTTATCAAGGATTCTGAAAATTATAACATGAAAATTGTATGGATTCATTTTTAATAAATATGATTAAAATAAAAATTTCTAACATTTAAAACATAGCCCCCAGCACCAAAATCAGGCTGATGCGCTCATTAGTCCCCTCCATTTTCTTGTATGCTCGTGAGTCCTGGACATTAACAGCAGAACTTGAAATAAAAATAAAGGTGATAGAGATGTTTCAGAAGCATTCTTGGAATCTGCTATAGAGACCATAAATCTAACGAACAAGTCAAAGAAAAGATAGTCAAAGAAAAAATTCATCAAGAAATTGGGCAGTACGATGACCTCCTGGGAACTGTAAAAAAGTACAAACTGGAATGTATGGCCACATGACAAGAAAACAAGGGCTTGCCAAAGAAATCATGCAGGGCACAACGAGAGGAAGGGAAAGAAGAGGAAGACAGAGAGAAAGATGGGAAGATAACATCAAAGAGTGGGCGAGACTAAAGCGAGGCGATGCCGTGCGAAGTGCAGATAAAAAAGAGCAATGTAGAGGGATAGTTTTCAGGTCATCTGTGGCGCCCCAACGGTCCAAGGACAAAGGGACATCAGTGGCGCCCCAACAGTCCAAGGACAAAGGGACATCTGTGGCGCCCCAACGGTCCAAGGACAAAGGGACATCTGTGGCGCCCCAACGGTCCAAGGACAAAGGGACATCTGTGGCGCACCAACGTTCCAAGGACAAAGGGACATCTGTGGCGCCCCAACGGGCCAAGGACAAAGGGACATCTGTGGCGCCCCAACGGTCCAAGGACAAAGGGACATCTGTGGCGCCCCAACGGTCCAAGGACAAAGGGACATCTGTGGCGCCGCAACGGTCCAAGGACAAAGGGACATCTGTGGCGCCCCAATGGTCCAAGGACAAAGGGACATCTGTGGCGCCCCAACGGTCCAAGGACAAAGGGACATCTGTGGCGCCCCAACGGTCCAAGGACAAAGGGACATCTGTGGCGCCCCAACGGTCCAAGGACAAAGGGACATCTGTGGCGCCGCAATGGTCCAAAGACAAAGGGACATGATGATGATGAACATTTAAAATCTATCAAGAAATATTTCTGAGATTTTTTTTTCATGTAAAATAAATTTCAAGAGAAGTACTAAATATAACACATACCTTTACTCTACTATATAATGTACAACCAACATAAACAAGTACTAAACTTATAACTCAACAGCATAGTGGTCAATTATTGACCTAAAGCAATTTTTTTTAAACTAAAAAATGTCAGGATCCAAATCAATGAGAATAATTTGTCTCACCTTGAACCCTAGGACTGACACACAACCCTGACACAGAATGAGAATAATTTGGCTCACCTTGAACCCTAGGACTGACACACAACTCTGACACAGAATGAGAATAATTTGGCTCACCTTGAACCCTAGGACTGACACACAACCCTGACACAGAATGAGAATAATTTGGCTCACCTTGAACCCTAGGACTGACACACAACCCTGACACAGAATGAGAATAATTTGTCTCACCTTGAACCCTAGGACTGACACACATCCCTGACACAGAATGATAATAATTTGTCTTACCTTGAACCCTAGGACTGACACACAACCCTGACACAGAATGAGAATAATTTGGCTCACCTTGAACCCTAGGACTGACACACAACCCTGACACAGAATGAGAATAATTTGGCTCACCTTGAACCCTAGGACTGACACACAACCCTGACACAGAATGAGAATAATTTGGCTCACCTTGAACCCTAGGACTGACACACAACCCTGACACAGAATGAGAATAATTTGGCTCACCTTGAACCCTAGGACTGACACACAACCCTGACACAGAATGAGAATAATTTGGCTCACCTTGAACCCTAGGACTGACACACAACCCTGACACAGAATGAGAATAATTTGGCTCACCTTGAACCCTAGGACTGACACACAACCCTGACACAGAATGAGAATAATTTGGCTCACCTTGAACCCTAGGACTGACACACAACCCTGACACAGAATGAGAATAATTTGGCTCACCTTGAACCCTAGGACTGACACACAACCCTGACACAGAATGAGAATAATTTGGCTCACCTTGAACCCTAGGACTGACACACAACCCTGACACAGAATGAGAATAATTTGGCTCACCTTGAACCCTAGGACTGACACACAACCCTGACACAGAATGAGAATAATTTGGCTCACCTTGAACCCTAGGACTGACACACAACCCTGACACAGAATGAGAATAATTTGGCTCACCTTGAACCCTAGGACTGACACACAACCCTGACACAGAATGAGAATAATTTGGCTCACCTTGAACCCTAGGACTGACACACAACCCTGACACAGAATGAGAATAATTTGGCTCACCTTGAACCCTAGGACTGACACACAACCCTGACACAGAATGAGAATAATTTGGCTCACCTTGAACCCTAGGACTGACACACAACCCTGACACAGAATGAGAATAATTTGTCTCACCTTGAACCCTAGGACTGACACACATCCCTGACACAGAATGATAATAATTTGTCTTACCTTGAACCCTAGGACTGACACACAACCCTGACACAGAATGAGAATAATTTGGCTCACCTTGAACCCTAGGGCTGACACACATCCCTGACATAGAATGAGAATAATTTGGCTCACCTTGAACCCTAGGACTGACACACATCCCTGACACAGAATGAGAATAATTTGGCTCACCTTGAACCCTAAGACTGACACACAACCCTGACACAGAATGAGAATAATTTGGCTCACCTTGAACCCTAGGACTGACACACAACTCTGAAACAGAATGAGAATAATTTGGCTCACCTTGAACCCTAGGACTGACACACAACCCTGACACAGAATGAGAATAATTTGGCTCACCTTGAACCCTAGGACTGACATACAACCCTGACACAGAATGAGAATAATTTGGCTCACCTTGAACCCTAGGACTGACACACAACCCTGACACAGAATGAGAATAATTTGGCTCACCTTGAACCCTAGGACTGACACACATCCCTGACACAGAATGAGAATAATTTGGCTCACCTTGAACCCTAGGACTGACACACAACCCTGACACAGAATGAGAATAATTTGTCTCACCTTGAACCCTAGGACTGACACACATCCCTGACACAGAATGATAATAATTTGTCTTACCTTGAACCCTAGGACTGACACACAACCCTGACACAGAATGAGAATAATTTGGCTCACCTTGAACCCTAGGACTGACACACAACCCTGACACAGAGATTGAAATGTCTCAACAAGACCCGATAAAACCATGACAGGACACCTTTTCTCCTGAGCTACACACAGCAAGGAAGATAACTCAGGCTCTGACATCAGGACGGGGACCAACTCTTCTGATATAAGAATCAGCTCAAGTGAGCCCCTCTCAGCAACTTTCATCACCGTCTTTTTACCAAGTTCAAACTGGTTGCTGGAGGTTAGAAAGAATTAAATCTCATTTACTACTGAAATATAATCCTAGTGGGAGAATTTACATTTTAGATATGTAAATTATAAGCTGTGTAATGTACTCACTGGCACTGTAAGATATTTAAGCTGTGTAATATACTCACTGGCACTGTCAGATATCTAAGCTGTGTAATGTACTCACTGGCACTGTCAGATATCTAAGCTGTGTAATGTACTCACTGGCACTGTCAGATATCTAAGCTGTGTAATGTACTCACTGGCACTGTCAGATATCTAAGCTGTGTAATGTACTCACTGGCACTGTCAGATATCTAAGCTGTGTAATGTACTCACTGGCACTGTCAGATATCTAAGCTGTGTAATGTACTCACTGGCACTGTCAGATATCTAAGCTGTGTAATGTACTCACTGGCACTGTCAGATATCTAAGCTGTGTAATGTACTCACTGGCACTGTCAGATATCTAAGCTGTGTAATGTACTCACTGGCACTGTCAGATATCTAAGCTGTGTAATGTACTCACTGGCACTGTTTGTCAAAGTAATCTTTCAAGTCTCTCTTTTTTTGGCTCTGTTTTTTCTTCTTTTTCTTTGGAGTTTTCTCTTTGCTGTGAACCACTACTGATAAGAAGACCCTGAAATATAACAGAAATCATGACCTAGGAAGAAAATCAACAAATCAACAAAATCAATCTTTACCAAACAGAGGACGTGCAAAGGTGACATGCACGCAACTCCTAGATAGGAAAATGGAATCAATATTTGTGTTTTTTCATCACATATGTGCAGCATCTTACTGGTTGATGTTAATGTGGTAATGTTAATTTTCAGTATTTCTGGCAAAGTTTGAGATGTCATAGCAGTTATCTTTGGAAACAAAACTACCTTTTCAGCTCATCAAGTATTTCAGTCTCTGTACTGGGCTCAACTCTGATTGGTCTGAAAGAAGTAAAACATTTCTATAGATAACTTTTAGTCAATCATGAAAATACGTGTGAATCTTTTGACTCCATCAAACTCGCCACTTTCACCTAATATATTATCAGTCTTTACCCCCAATGATCACCTAAATTTATCAGACAGCAGCATCACACCTCCTTTGACATCTCTTGATACAGGTGCTGAGCTTGGAGCAACAGGAGTTGTCTTTTCTTGCACTAATTTAATGATCTCAGAAAAAGCAGACTCGAGACCTTCTTTTATTTTCTATTTTCAAAAAAAGAAGAAAAAAATATCAAAATATTTATGTTTTAACTTAACTAGGGCAGGCTGAGGGGTTGAGGGGCTGAGGTGACCAAATGTTTCTAACAAGATCAATAAATTCAAAAAACACAAAAGTCCCTAATAAAAAGAGCTGTAAATATTGCCTAATGAAAGCTAGTATCAAAAATGGTCTTGATATGGTCTGTCTTTTTTTTTGTGTGTAAAAATCTTCTAGTTCTATTGGTTTAGAACAAAAACCATTGAGAAAACAAAGGATATTCAGGCCAGAAACCATTGAGAAATAATTGATATTTAGGCCATAAACCATTGAGAAATAATTTATATTTAGGCCATAAACCATTGAGAAATAATTTATATTTAGGCCATAAACCATTGCAAAATAACTGATATTTAGGCCATAAACCATTGAGAAATAATTTATATTTAGGCCATAAACCATTCAGAAATAATTGATATTCAGGCCATAAACCATTGAGAAATAATTGATATTTAGGCCATAAACCATTGCAAAATAACTGATATTTAGGCTATAAACCATTGAGAAATAATTTATATTTAGGCCATAAACCATTGAGAAATACTGATATTTCGACCATAAACCATTGAGAAAATATTGATATTTTGACCATAAACCATCGAGAAATAACTGATATTTCGACCATAAACCGTTGAGAAATACTGATATTTCGACCATAAACCATTGAGAAATAATTTATATCTAGGCCATAAACCATTGAGACACAGATAGGAAGACAGCAGCACTGCATTGTGGGTGTGCATTAGGAAGGGCGCAAAAAGATGCAGATAGGAAAGTTCCTACGAAAAAGGAAAAAAAAAATCGGATCTGGCTTATCAACTTAATGAGAAGGAGAAACCCCAGAAGAAAATCCTCAAAAGACAAAAGATGGCGTCCAACTTGTGTGAGGGATACACATAATCTGTCTACATGATCCATGTGAGGTAGGCATTCAGTGTGAGGGATACACATAATCTGTCTGCATGATCCATGTGAGGTAGGCATTCAGTGTGAGGGATACACATAGTCAGTCTACATGATCCATGTGAGGTAGGCATTCAGTGTGAGGGATACACATAGTCTGTCTACATGATCCATGTGAGGTAGGCATTCAGTGTGAGGGATACACATAGTCTGTCTACATGATCCATGTGAGGTAGGCATTCAGTTATACAGAGTCAAGGTTTAACAAAATTCTGCTCCTATTTCTGGACTGAAGACACTGCAGTAAGCTGTGAGACATGGCAGTAAGCTGTGAGACGCTGCAGTAAGCTGTGAGGATCTGATGAAAACCCAGACAGCCATTGATCTTGAGTAAATATATAACTTGGCCAAAGTAATGTCAAACAATTAGGCACTCTATGAAATCTAAAACGAAGACACAACAGAGATAACCTGCCTTAAAGCCAAGTGTCAGTGGGAGACATTTAGATTCTGTGACTTGAGCCAAAGTTGGTGACAGCTGATCAATGCACAAAACTGGGCAGCCCTTCTCTTGTGCTAACAAAATGACGTGGTTGACTGTAATGGCGGGTGTAGCTTGGCCTGACACTAGCACGCAGGCGAGAACATCTTTCTCTAAACTCCGGAAAACACATGATGTGCCGATGTCAAGCTGACTTCTGTTCAATCAAACAAAGGATATGAAATAGTTTAGAAACACAAAGATTATCAATATTCTTCTTTAGATCATTTAAAAAATTCTTTTGGCATTATCTTTAAGGGTCTAAAATGCAACATAAGTTGACAAGTTAATTTTGTATCTTCTATCAAAACACAGAGACTCAACCTAAAAAAGTCCTTTTCATAAATATTAAGAGAATGAAACAGTGACATGTGTGATATTAAATATATGTTTAATGATATAATTATTTTTTTTTAAACAGACTAAATTAAATTTTTTAAATAACCTTATTTTGGATTTTAAGTTTTGCTCTTCTGTTGAAGGATTTTTCAGTTTCTTGAAAAGATTTGGAAATTGCTGCAATTTTCTGAGGAAACAAATTTGAGCCTGGTAAATATGGAATATCTGGTACTGGTATATAAAAAAGGTTATAAAAGCTTTAATGTTCATTGTTAAGATAGGGAAGTATCGTGAAGTGCATGGTCAAAGATGTTGCTTGGGTCACAAAATATGATCTTATATTATAAATGTGTTGAGGGGAAAAGGGGGGGGGGGGCAGTACAAGCCACATAATTATTTTTAAAATATTTCTTTTCACATTCAACTATGTTGAGGTAGGGTGTGCAACTCTAACTTAATATAAAACTGACGATTGAGCAGAAATTTGGAGCTGATTACATTGTAATTGTATGAAAAAGATAAATACAAAATACTCACTCTGACAGCTTTGTTAAAATTTCAGTTTGCACTTCTGTGCTTGGTCTTGGCCTATGCAATAGGAACAAACATTAGAATATTTTGTTAAATTATATAACTTAACAGGGTCTAATTGCCCTTTTCTTAATGTTTTAAATTTGTACTGCCATTGCATTGACTCTAATAACTGCCAGGAGATCATTTTATCTGCAATCCATTACTTTTCTTTCTTCTGCATATTTAATATTGTGTACCGGTACCAGTTCTATTCATTCTTCAATTTAAGGGTCAACTTTAAAGAAAATTACAAAATCTGTCAATTTGAATCAGTGAAAAATATGTTGTATCAGGGAAAGATTTGTTGATTCAGTGAAAAATATGTTGAATCAGTGAAAAATATGTTTAATCAGGGAAAGATATGTTGAATCAGTGAAAGATATGTTGAAACAGTGAAAGATATGTTGAAACAGTGAAAGATATGTTGAAACAGTGAAAGATATGACTATGACTAGTCATGACCAAAATGACAGTAACCCCATATTTTAAAATTAGCAATTCAATTCAAATGAAATAGTGTATTTCATTAATTTCTTACATTTTATTTAAGTTCAAGCCTGTTATTTTTGTTAAATTTATCAACTTATTTCATTAGATCTATTTTTAGGGCTTTTATTATTCACCGACGTCTTTCTATAACAAAACTGTAACTTTTTAACATAGTTTACAAAAACAAAATAACATATTTATCGGCGTATAACACACACTTTTTCTCCCTGAAAAAAGGGGGCAAATGATGTGTGCGTGTTATACACCGATATAATTTTATTTTTTTTCCCTGAAATTTCCTTCTTAAAATGAGGTGCATGTTATACGGCGGTGTGTGTTATACGCCAATAAATACAGTAAATGCTAATCTGTTTTCATTTAGGGAAAAAAATGTGTTTTGTTGTCTTTATACTTTGTGAGTGCTCTTCCATTATTCGGGTGTTCTTAAAGAGGCCAGTAATTATTAACACATTAAATTATTCCAAATTCCCATTCGCTACTATGGCGACCAAATGTGACGTATACCCCCTCGCTACTATTGGGACTGAATGCATCATTTCGCCTAGCAACGTACACATACAAGCCGGTCTTGGGAGAAGTGTTGTTTCCATGGGAATAGCATTATGATATCCGTAATTGAAAAGTTAGGTGATGTTTTCATCTCTTTGGTTAGAGTTGTAAAGTTCATCTGGTATATAGTGAATCTGTGATTGCGCTGCATGAAGGTTTATTGCTATGGTATTTCAGCTTGCCGGCCCGTTAGGTGTCTAATTTAAATTACAGATATTCATAATACCAGATAAGATTACTAAGACGATGAGTCACATATTGAAGTAGATAGAATGATAAAAAATATGGTACCGAGTATAAGAATCAACTCAGAATGATACTAGAAGGGGGGGGGGGGAGAATGTGTGGTGCGTGTGTATGTGTCTGATAACAATGTGATACACTGTTACTGAGAGTTGGTTAAACAAATTGACCAGTGTTTCCGAGAGTTGGTTAGACAAGTTGACCAGTGTTTCCGAGAGTTGGTTAGACAATATGACCAGTGTTTCTGATCAGATGAAAATATTTACAGAGATTTAAGGTGATCTCCTATTGATAGCAGCACAGCAGATTATTTCAGACTGTTTATGACTAATGAAATGGTTCATCTTTATCCCATGGTGACGGAAAAAAACAGCTGTCACCATATGTTGAGACCTATACATCATACATCAAACCTCTGAGGTTTACATCATACGTCCAACCTGTGCGGTTTTTGGAGTTGTATGGCCTTATAGGATTCTATATGGTTTTTCACTGGATTTAGAAAAGAAATATTGTGTTGTTCGTTATTAACTACTTTGAGTAGTAAACCATGATCACAAATCTGACATAATAGTTTCCTCAGAAAAGGATAATTTTCCTCCATTAAAAAACTCCTAAGGACTGTCACTGCTCCTCTTGCCATACCATATACTATCTCTAGGAGAAGTTTGTCATCATTAACTTTAATAAATTCAATAATTGAATGAACAGCATTAAACTTAATTGACCATTCAGCAGTGAAAACAGACAGAGATTTCCTGTAAAATATTACTAGGATCATCACTCCATGTCTTTAAACAATCAGCTCTAGACTTCACATGGCACATGAAATTGGGTATAATTACATTCCTCACTAGTGACAATTTTCCAGTAGATCCAGAAGCCTTAATATAAAAAAGAGTTCAGCGGCACAGACAAAATTCATTTAAAAAATCCTCATTAATATCAAGAGCAGCACTTGGACCATCATCTGATCATTGTCTGATCATTCTCTTTGTAGCACTTTCTCAGACTCTCTAGAAAAGATATGCATCTTGATCCCTCCGCAGACTTCTTTTTCTTGAAAGTTCAACTAAATCTTTCTCAGCTTCTATCACTGCCTCCTCATAGCACTTCCCAAGCCTAATAAAAAAAATGGCCCTTACAATGAAGAAAATGTAATTTTACATTAAAAACAAATTCAGACTAAAAGAGATTCCAATTTTGAATCAAAAAGTTTCAATGAAGCTGCTCTATCTTTGTACTTGTCAGTTTTGATAACAGCGACTTAAATATTTCCTGAAAATCTAATGGGACAAATCTGCATAACTCTCTCATAATTTTTTAAATAGATTGATACTATTGATAGTGACATCCAATAAAGTGTTAGCATCTTCTGGTACAACAGGTTTAAACCCTAAATAGAGTGTATCTACATTGCCCATTATCAATGGCTATTTGGTGATAAACTATCTTTCTTTGATCTCTTGATGTACCATCATCATGTAAAGTAAAATTATAACTCTGAGCAATGCTCTCTACAATGTGAACATTACTAATAACATTTCTTTTAACATATTGATGGCTGTTTGCTTAAACTTAAAGGGTAAATTTGAGCTATAAATATGATTATTAAGTAATCCTTCACCAACTATTTGAATGACCTTTGAAACTCTTCCGGCAGCTACTCCTGCCTCAGTTTGAAGACCTCTAACTACTGGGCAAATGTTATCAGAATACACATTCCTAATTTCTCCTGTAAGACAACTAGAAGTGGGTGAATTTTTTTTTTAAACTATGAAAAATGACCCCAAAAATGCATTTTTTCTCCAGTTTGGACTACCTAGTACCTAGTATGATGACTACATTTCCTCCCAGGATACCATTGTTTATTAAAGCTCGAAAATAAGAAAAAACCTATAGTAGATACTTTGGTCAAAAATGTAAACATTTTTTAAAAATAAACCAATGGCACAGTTGAATAGAGCTAATTTTAAACATAATTATAACACCAAAATCATATTTTTAGCTGTTGTAGTTTTAAAGTTATGAATTTTTAAAGTACGACTTGGTTTGTCATTTTTTAACATGGACTGCATCTCCACATTCTGTGACCTCATTCCACTGATCGCGTCATGCGCAATGACTATATAGTTTATATAAGGCAACGCATTCCCTATCACTAAAATACTGTTTAGGGTCGACTTATTTTAAACTTTCAACTTTGGCACATGAATAATTAATAAAAGCTTTCCCTGACCAATGGTTTAATAGCTTTTGCACACGGCAAACTCTTATGAATGAAACTCTGAGATAGTACTACAACGTAGCCGTTATGCAAGTGGCTGTGAATGGTTGCCAATGACAACGTGTTGCACAGGGAAAATTCTGATCATTTATATTATGGACTCTGCAGGGTTTTTAAAGCTCAAATTAAAACATTTCCAGTTTAAATGTCTTCAAAATGCATTCTGAAACACAAAATATAAAATATTTTGATGTATATAGTGGTAATAATTAAATATTTCCTAAGTATCGGCAACTTCCGCCATTAAAAAGGGGGCGTGGCCCACGCCATGTCGAAATTAGGCTGAGCCACCTTATGGTGATATGGGTCACTGTGACAAGTGTAACAAACGTGGGACACGACCTACATCAATGAAACTTGGCACAGATATAGATCAATATCTAATGCTCATACAGATTTAATAAAAAAGGACCTTATCTTATTATTTCACAAAAAATTTTGTATGCGAAGATGCCTTATATATACCAAAGATTTTCAAAATAAAGGTCGATTGAAAAAAGCAAAATAGCTGGCTAGAAATGTAGGCCAAGATGTCTTCCAAATTATAAGGCCGGAAACGGAACTCAAATATATGTGGAAAGAACTAATTTAATAATAAATAGACACACACATCGGAAAATTAAAAACTCGGATTTTTCGGCGCCGACGCCCATTTCCGATACAAAAAAATAGTAGTCTCCCTTCTTTCATCGAAGTATCTACCTATAGTCAATTTTCGAAAACCCACGCTACTGTGAGATTCTGTGTAGGATTCACTCCACTTTGTTTATTCGTGGATAGTTACTAGTTAACTTTTCTTAATATTAATATGTCAAAGAGACTTTTAGTAACAGCTGGATTTTTTCTTGGCCAACGCTCAAGTGGTAGATTACCAAAAGTGCAATGCCGCAATGAACACACAAAATCATAATTTAAAAAGTTGGTATCCATCGATTGTATTTTTATTTATGCCCTATATATATTACCAATCATGAGTATCGGAACATAGAACATGCTTATGAGTTGCTTTTGACTTTTTCTCTTTCTTTATTAAGCCTTTAAAAGTTGCATGTTGTTGTGATGAGCGAACCGTGGGGGCTGCCATTTTTTTTATTATTAAATTAAATGTCAAAGACTGCTTCCGGTACGATACCGAATTGTCAATCGTAATTTTCATGCAGTAATTTCTACATAGTAGTCCAAGTGATTCTTCAGAGTCAAGTTGCTTACTGTAATTCTATTTTAATTCAACTAATATTACTAAGTGTGAATTTAAATGGTAGAGACTTTTTTTTCTTTACTCCACACCCTTTAAGTTTAAAAATTGTTTCACTACAGTGGCATAGGGAGGAAGTGAGAAGGGGGCGCTCCGCCCCAGTCTGCACTGTTTTCTTAATATTCTGGGGCGGCATTTTCGGTCAACTCCAGGGTGTTTTTTTTTGGGGGGGGGAGGGGGCCGCACCAACCCTCGCTACGCCACTGTTTGACGACTAAGGCTCTCAAACTGAACTTTGTGTGTAGAATTAAGTGAATTGGGGGGGGTTTTTCGGTCAACCCCGGGGTGTTTTTTTTGGGGGGGGGGGGAGGGGGCCGCACCAACCCTCGCTACGCCACTGTTTGACGACTAAGGCTCTCAAACTGAACTTTGTGTGTAGAATTAAGTGAATTACAAAGAGAATTGTAGAACTTATGAAATTAACGTGTGACCTTTAAGACACCCTCAAAATAGATCGTCACAAAAATGTGTGACCAGCCCTTGTCCTTCAAAAACTAAAATGTTAATGAAGAATACTTTTTTTTAAAACCCTATCTACATTTATTCGTGTAATATAATTTGTTTTCAGACTCCCCCAGATTAATAAAAAAAATGCTAAGTGAACTGGAGTCACTATGAATGCGGGGGTTCAGCGTCGTAGGGCCGGGTGGGGGGGGGGGCTTGTCAGAGATAACTTACATTCATTCACAAAATCCGCAATAATTTTCCTGAAATTCTGACAGTGAAAGTCTAAAAATAGTAGCATATTCATGTCCTTTGAGTATAAGTAATGCTATAAAAAATATCACACAATGTCTTGTAAGGAATTATCGTCATAATTTTAAAGGTGCCTTGTGTTTTCAAAAGAGAACTCGTTAGATGTCGCTTTAGTAGTAAGCCTACTCAGTAGTAGTGGTAACGGGAATATTTCGTCCAACGTGTTTGGGTACGCCAGTGGTTCTTAATTTTTTTAAATTCTCGGTGCCCTTGGCAGATTTTCACAAGGCGCCATGGGTTAGTTAAAGTCTCACAAGTAGGCCTACACTACGCAATAGCGAATAATTAAACAAACAAAAAAATAATAAATGGATGGGTAAGAGTAACAATAAATAAAACATATTTACGTCAGTAAGAGGCATCTCATAACTGAACACGGTTGTTTGTACTCAGGTGAATGTCTGTTGTCACATGTAGTATTTCGCAACACCCCCACCCCTGTGAGGAAGTCTCGGGAACCCAGGGCCTGGGGAGGGCCAGGGCAGGGCCTGGGGAGGGCCAGGGCAGGGTCTGGGGAGGTCCAGGGTAGGGCCTGTGGAGCGCCAGGGGAGGGCCTGGGGAGGGCCTGGGGGGGCCAGGGGAAGACAAGGGCAGGGCCTGGGGAAGGGCCAGGGGAGGGCAGGGGAGGGCCTGGGAAGGCAAGGGGAGGGCCTGGGGAGGGCGGTGCCAAGGAAAAGTGGACCTTGAAAATGGCGTCTCCAAATAAATAGAATAAAGTGCCACCCGAGGCGGACCAGCAAGAAGACGATTTTGGTGCCCCTTGACCTTATGCAGTTCTATTTACCAAGCTGGAACCCTAAAGCATATCCCCCATGAGCGCCACAGCTAGACTGAATTCAGTTTATGTTAGGCGGGGGCGCTGGGTTCAGAGCTGGGCCTGAGAGCCATTATGCCTATGTTTAGACTAGACTTAGACCTTAGACTTAGACTCTATACTTAGACTCTAGACTTAGACTCTAGGCTTAGACTCTAGACGTAGACTCTATACTTAGACTATAGATTTAGACTCTAGGCCCTTGGAATCTAGGTCCTTAGACTCTAGGCCATTGGAGTTTTGAAACTGAGACGTTAAGTTTTCTATTGCTACTAGATACGATAGCATTTATATTTATAGCCTAGGTAGGCGGGCGTAATGGTATAGTTTATTAAATTGTAGCAGATGTTAAACTATCCCTCACCCCGTCAAAGCTGTGAATACATGTGCCCCAACAGATGTGCTTTCATTGTCCATCCCCCCCCCCACAGATGTGCATTTATTGCGTCCTCCATCAAAGCTGTACATTCATTGTGTCCCCCCAGCTGTGCATTTATTTTGTCCTCCTCCAAAGCTGTGCATTCATTGTGTCCCCACAGCTGTGCATTCATTGTGTCCCCACAGCTGTGCATTTACTGTCCCCCCACAGCAGTGCATTTATTGTCCCCCACAGGTGCGCATTCATTGTAACTCCCGCCAAAGCTGTGCATTCATTATGTCCCCCAAAGCTGTGCATTCATTGTGCCCCCGCAGATGTGCATTCATTGTATTCCCCACAGCTTTGCATTCATTATGCCCCCCACAGCTGTGCATTTATTGCGTCCCCCAAAGCTACGCATCCATTGTAACCCCCGCCAAAACTGTGCATTCATAATGTCCCCCCTCCCCCACAGCTGTGCATTCATTGTGTCCCCCC